TAAAACCTAATGTATTTATTTGCTTTGGAAGTAATATGATGGATGTGTTCAGTCCAAGTAAAGTTTGTTGTTTAAGATAACCCCTAGGTACTTGTGATTATTAGCCTCAGCTAGTGTATGGCTCCCTAGTTTGTAGTCAAATACTTTAGTTTTGCGTTTATGGGTGTAGCGCATGACATAGCACTTATCAGGGTGTAGTTCCATTTGCCAATTGCTCTGCCATGCGTCTAACATGTTTATATCATCTTGTAGTAGGATATGGTCATTGTCGTTATTTATTTCTCTGTAAATGACACAGTCGTCGGCGAAAAGCCTGATGTTAGAGTTAAGGTTATCAGCCAGATCATTTATGTATACTAGGAACAATAAAGGCCCTAGTACGGTGCCTTGGGGTACTCCAGAAACTACTTCTGCCCAATCTGAATGTTCCCCCCCAACTACCACCCTTTGTTTACGTTTTTTTAGGAAGTTAGAAATCCACTGGAGGAGTTTGCCTCGGATACCGTAGTTATGTAGTTTTAAGAGAAGACGGTTATGGGGAACCTTATCGAAGGCTTTGGCGAAATCAGTTATGATTAGATCAGTTTGTGATTTGGAATCTAAGGAAAGGGCTAAGTCATTTGTGGTTTGGACAAGTTGAGTCTCACACGAATGTTTCTTCCTAAAACCATGTTGGTTTTCAGTTAAGATAGAATACATATCAAAATGGTCCATAATCTGGGAGTGGATAATGTGCTCCATGACCTTACTACAAACACAAGTGAGAGAGACGGGACGATAGTTAGAAGGTTTCGTCCTATCACCTTTTTTATAAATGGGAGTGATGTTTGCGTGTAGCCAAGTGGACGGGATTTGGCCTGATTCTAAAGATTTCTGACATATTAAGGTTAGGGCTGGGGCTAACTCTACGGCCGCTAGTTTAAGAATTCTTGCTGAGAGGCCGTCTGGTCCACTAGCTTTGTGTGGATTCAGTTCACTCAGGAGTTTGATAACTCCGTTAGTATTAATGCTGAATTCTGGTATTGAGGGAATGGTACTGCGGGGGAGGTGGGGGAGTTGTTCTTTTTCCTCAGTAAAGACAGAACTAAATTGGAAGTTAAGTATGTTTGCTTTGATTCTGTTATCTGATTCTAATTTATCTCTTAGTTTGAGGCTAGGGATACCAGTTGCTTCCTGTTTCAAGTGTTTTATGTGCGACCAAAACTTTTTAGGGGAGTCGGTACAAATTGAAT